TAAGCGCCTTGAGGATGATCACCACTGGTACTAAAAACTCCTAAAGTTCCAGGGAGGGGGGCCCGTGGAAGCGTACGGGAGCGGGCGCGGAGGGGGGGGAGGGGGGTTAGGTGAGATCTCCTGGGATCATGCCAGTGACAGGGCGTCTATATCCCAGTGGTAGTGCAGGACACAGACGATTAGAGGGGGTGGGCATGAGCGAGAGAGATGGGGGTGAAAACGCTCAAGTTCGGGGGAGGGGGCTAGGCTGCGAGAGCCCGCTCTAAAAACCCTTAGGAAAGCCTTCGCCGCTTGATAGCGGCCGATATCAGACATTCGCCGCCCCCTGCCAGAAAGACACAAGGTGAAAAGAAGCCCAATAGCCCATTCACAATCGACGCCTGTGCACAACCACACCAGCACCCTAGGCGCACATCTCCCCGTAACTATGCAGATTCTTCGTATGTACGCCCCATTACAGGCAGGGCAGCACCGACATTTGCTGCTCCTCGAGCCCCTGACTCAAGCCGCTCCCGGTCCGGTCATGCATCATCTACAACCACACCGCCACACATGTTCGGAAATATAGGGAACATTGTGATGTTCCACACGTGATGTCCGAATGGCCCTTACATTTCAGAACAGAGATTTGTATATGCTGTTATATTAGTATCCATACTACCAGACGCCGCAGCGGAACATGCACACAATACCGTAGTCTCCAATCCCTTGCCTGAAAATAAGGGAACCATTGGAATATTCACTTTTGTGTCCAAATGGTCCTTACATCTCCCAACATATTCTGGTATTCGCAACGCTGTTTCATAGCAGGCATACCACCCGCTGCCGCCCTAGAACACACACAAGCCTCGGATATCTACACATCTCGCCTGTTTCCGCACGGAGAACCTCAGGGTGGCGCCCCCGGTCGATATGTAGTGCAGCGTCACGGTCAGCGTCGACTGGTCCTTGCGGGCGCAGCGCATCATGACCCCCTTCTCGCTGTACCCTTGCCCGCGGTCCTTGAATGTCCCGCGGGAGATGGCGTGCGCGTAGTTTCGCTTTGGCACCTATGGTTGTTGGTTGATCCGTAAGCCATGTCGAAACCGGCTGGACTCACTTAGCGTGTACTCCGCGTCAGGCGTCGTGAAAAAAAAAAGTCACATTATTGTGTGTAAATGGATGCACCCGTTGTGTGTGTACGCACCCGTCCGTCGTCGCTATCATCTATTTAGGGTGTCTACGACATCTACGATAATCTTTCGATCGTCAGCACCCACCCGATTATCCCAGTCGTGGCTCGCTATGCCTGCGGCCATCCTCTCTCGGGATACGTGTACGGCCGTTACATCTCACACTAAGACACCTAAAGATACAAACACACATACACACACACACACACTCCCTCACGGGGTCCCCGATATGGCCTGTAGAAAAAGCGCTATATTTTCAGTCGCGCTGAGACTGACTGACCTTCGTCATTGGGCAGCCGGTTAGCGCATTCGATGCTAGAAAAAAACACGCACCCATGACGCCCCCTCACGGGGTCCCCGATCATGGCCTTTAGAAGCCTTTCGTGTTCTCAACCGCACTGCGACTGACGTTTTATCATTGTGCAGCCGGGTAGCGCGGTCGATGCCACAATAGTGACACACACACGCTTCACCTGGAGCAGGCGGATGACTCTCTCGATCCCGCGTACGATAAAATAGCCCCCCATCTCCCCGGCCTCCTCCCTCCCCCTGGTCAGCCTGGCCGGCCCGTGCCCCCGCAAATGGCACCTCCTCGACCCCACCATCACGGGGCAATCGCCCGCGCGTTTTTGTGTCCGTACCACGTCTCCGTCCCCGACCTATATGATGGAGAGTTAGACGTGAATAGAGTAGTTACCAAGATAAAAGGAAAAAAGAGGAGGGGTGGGGGGTGGGGTAAGAGGGAAGAAAATAACAGGAGGGTACGTGAAAAACATGAACAGGGTCGAGGTGGGGACAAAAAAAGGATGGGCTGGATTATTGCAACGGGAAATGCCGTAAAACAAACATAAGGAAACCCGTGTTCGGTCTATAGAGGCACAAGAGGGCAAAGGCAAAAGGGAGGAGAGGGAGAAGAAGGTGGTCTGCCCAAACATATACTCAAGCACCCTTGTCAAATTCAAAGATTAGAATTCTGCAAATGGTGCGAACGGGCTGAGTGAAGTACGTAGACCTCTTTCGCCTTGATGATGTGCACAAAAACCTCCAGCCATATACTTTGGAGATATCCTCATTGTTGGGTGTTCCTTTTCCCCCACGGGGTCCGAAAAGGAAGGCAACAATACATACTACTCTTAGTGCCTAGGAAGTAAAGAGCGCGACAGCAGCACCAGCGAAACAAGAACAACAGCAACAGCGGAAATTCCACAGCAAGACACACTTACCTGATAGCAGAGGTCAACCAGGAGGGCTCCGTGATACGTCAGTCCTCTCTCACGGCACTCCCTGGGTGTGAGCTTCGCGTTCGTGGCCTCCTCATTCTTCTTACCCGGATACCCCACCGTGACTCCTTCCACCCAAAGCTTCAGCAGAGGGCCGCCCTCCCCCAGCTGGTGTTGGCGTCATAAACGTCCGTGTTGCGTAGATATTGTTTTGGCAACAAATAATTTTCGAAATTCAAAGGGAGAGGGTATGAGGATAACTCGAAGTTTCTGCTACTCCTTGGTTTAAAGACTACGGGCGTGTGGACAGCGGCAGCAGCATCAATATCGGTCACGGACAAGTACCAACGACTTCATCATGCCCTCCAAACCTTTCCGGATTTCACGGATCCCCCAACGCTGCCCTCGACTCGGTCCTGGTGGGTGCGGTTGGGGTGGTCGGCAGCGCGCACATGTGTGTTCGTCCCATCCCAATTATTCTGGCACCAGTCTACAAACCTTTCGGTCGACGTCACAACCCAGGAGATGTTTTTCATCTCTCCATTCCTCCTACGGCCATGTAGAGACGAAAAACAGAGACGAAACAACATACTGGTACTGCCGTACCTGCATAACCTGCGGAGGCATGTCCCTGACAGCCTCACAGAGACCCTCCTCCAGAAAAAAATCGAACGACTCGATGTGC